CAGCTTTATAACACTCGATGCAATGTGCACCGTCCAAATGCGGTGACACTAAATGCTCAACGGGCTTAAGAACATGTGTGTTTATCTCCTCCACACAGGATGATTCATCAGTACCGGCGTCCTGTTTGCAGAAAAAAGGCTTTCACTCCCGCTTTTTTTGATGTCATCAAAACCACTTGCGTTTTAATTAAACCGTCCTTCTTTTGCCGTTGGTATAGATCTTTTCGAGTTATGATTCTCCTCTAAGAAAACTGTTTTCACCCAATTGTCGGTGGATGTGTTGGGTCACAAACGCTAGCTTGATTTATTGACCTAGCCAGCTTCGTTAACAGAGTCAAAGGGTCATGCCTTTGTGTCACCAATCAGTTCGACACAAAATCTGTGTGAAGGAGCTGCATATAACCCTGGGTGAGAATGAGGTCTGACAGTTTAATAACTTCCTTGGATTATTAATCCCGGATTAAATCCCCCACATTCTCAAATGCCCTTTTGATGTTATCCGTGCTCTTAGTTAATATGCTAAACCAATGTTCGTATATAATTAATTATTTTGGCCTTAATGGTGTTAAGGCTGACTAATCGTGCGTCTGATACAGTAGTGTTGGACCTGCATATAGACCTCCCTTTGATGTGGTGTATACTTCTGTTCCACTCAAAACTTTCGACAGAGTGCAGAATTCAATTAGGTTTTTGCCGTGCTTTGAAATAGGTTAACCTTGGAGACCACTTTTAAAAGGCTTTCTGGAAAGTATACCTCTTTTGGCTGTAGATAAGCAGAAGGCAGTGACTTAGCCAAAGGGGTAACTGCATCACTACCCGGTTGGTAAAAAATTCATTATTTTGTATTTACTGTGAAAACTTGCTAGTTAATTTGTATTTTAAGTATCGATTTTTGGGGTGACATCTTTCCATCCCTTTGGTTGCCTCTGCGGCACTTAAAAGGTACACAATTCGGGAGGCGGTCATATTTTAGGCACACAGAAGAGCTGGGGGAGGAGGCTGGTAGCACAAGTGACATACACAGATTTCGTACTGTCAGTGGGGAAGCTTAATTTTGCAGTCAAAGCTACAATTAAGACAAATGCCACTCTGTTAAACAGCGATTGAAGTGAGCCAATCAAAGCGTCCAAAATTCACTCTCGTCTTCGTCGTAAAAACTTGAAATCGCCTTCCCTGAATCCTCAGATTTGCACTTTAAGATGTGCACTAGATGTAAGAAGTCTTTGCTTGGCGCTGTATTTCCTGTAAGGGTGTCAATTAGCAATTTGAAAGACTCCAGGAGGCGGCAACTTCCAAGATCAAATAAATGGCGTTCTTCCCATGTCATAATTCACTTTCAAACATCAAAATTGCGCCACATTCCTGCCATAAACACAGTGGAAATCAAGTTCATGCATTTTAACAACCATTGCCAGCCCCAGCACTGTGTTGTCACTACAAATAGCGCGTCTAAAGTGGGTCACCTACGGCTAATGTTATTGGTCAGTGGTGGAGGTTTGGGGGCACGGTCTGAGCAGTGCACGAAACCATGGCAGATGTCAGTGTTGAGTTGCAGATGCCTCACTAAGCCGCAGGGAATTGTGAGCGGGGTCGGAGGATTGAAGTAAGGCACTGGTATATGACCTAGGCACGCAAGTATGGGCGCGGACACAGACCCGCTTTCAAGTGCCCGCGGTGGCTAGTGTGGCAGGCAGAAGATTTATGCCGGGCTTGTCTGGACTCCCAAAACATACGCACACGGGCACGAGGGTAGACGGTGGCTGCTGCTGCTGCTGCTGTTGCCGCTTCTGCGATAGTAGCAGGGGGGCGGCGGCGGCTGCAGCAACTTGTATTATTAGGTGCTGAGATGACTAATGGGACTGGGAATGGGAATGATAGAAAAAATATATATTTTTGTCAAATTACCTCGCCCTCTTATCGCAGAAGGTTGAGGAGGGAAAGAAGATGGTAGTGGAGGAAGAATGGCCAATTTCTTCGAATTGAACAGAAAAAGTGCCCACTTCTGCCGTAGAGCGCGCGTGTGCGTGTGTGTGTGATCTATAGGCGGTGGGAATATTAAGGTCCAAGCTTTTTGTACTGGAACTGTAATGTTAGCATTCTTCATTTGTACAATTTGAAGGGAATATATAGTCTTGCTGGTAAATACATGTGGGGGAATCTTCCGTCCCAATGTATTGCTCTTTAGTTGTGATCATCTGTGAGAAATTCTTCGACGTTATTTTTGCAACACATACACTGATGGACACGTTTTACAGCTTGGCCTCGGCTGTAAAGCAAAATTCCTGCGTAATATTTGGCCCAGTCGAGACTACCAGTAACGCATTTTGGTTTTATAGGAAAATTGAGGCGATATAATCCTGCTTTAACTCTTTTTTGAAGAAATCCACTACATTACGGCTTGGCGTTAATGTCAGGTAGCATGCTCGCTTCCTTGCTTCCAGATTGTTAGAGAAAAGTTGACCGACCTAGCTCAGGTACTTCATCATTCGCATGTAGAACCGGCATCTGCTGTCAGACCGTTGCGCAAAAACCAAAAATGGTACTTCCTTTACGTTCAAAAGCCCTATTCGACATCTGTCGGACGGGCTACACTATTTTCCGCAATCAGCCATCAGAAGTTTATAAAAGACTTAAGTAACATATATGTGACGTATGGAGGAGGTGGGTAAAAGGGGGAGTCACACGCATGGAACGCTAAGGAAGGCCGCACTGAGGGAAAGTGGGAGTATTACTGAGAAAGCGCAAAAGTTGTCATTCTATTCTGGATTCTGCCTGAGTTTTTAAAATGATATTTATTTGATAAATGGAGAAGTTATCAGCTTCGGTTTTAACTCTGTTTACCACAGTGGGGAGAATCAAGAAGGAGGATAATTAAAAGCAGAAAAGTGCGCCTTAAAAAATAAAGCACATGATGAAATGAAAAAAAGAATAATCTTATTTTGTCTGCGAAGGGACTGACCTCAAGCAAGGTCTCAGCCATGACAGTTGTCAGTTGTCGGGTTGTGCTGACAGTTGGAGACATGCCAGTGGTGAGCTTGTTGTATGGTAGAGGTTAATATGCTAGCAGTGAGCAGTTATTCTTCAATTTTCCTCTCTAGATTGTGATTAGGTGTCACAAAAGAGAATCCCCTGTCCCGACCTGTCAAGTAGAGGAACTAAAGCGGCTGATCCTCCCGAGCCCCCAAAACAAAAATCAACTTTGCGCAGAGTTGCGGATCCGTACTCCAGATTACCGTCTTGCAAGAACTATTCATTTGCCGGCATCACTTTTTTGCCCCAAAACACAGCGCTTTTTTCAAAGTAATGACAGCTGGAACAAAAACCGACAACATGATCTTTAATCTCCCCTCTTCATTAAAATTAACATTTCGCGCCTTTGGAAACGAGTTGTACGAAATTGTTAAAAGGGTCTGCAAAGGAGTGACTGATCCAGGATAATGTGTTAAGCTCCGAGTCTTAAATCCGCTTAGAATCAGGTTCTGTTTAGCAAGCACTGAGAAAACCGAATGATGAATGAAGTGAAAGAAACAGTCTAATTGGTCGGCAGGTTGTAAACAGAGTTTCGGGATGTTCCTAAACCATTCTTGAAGTTTTCATATGCCCTCGTTTCAAAACACGAAAACTATTGTGATTTTACTGCATAAGCTATTTTTTTATCTGTTTATGTTTGAACTTCCTTCAGCTGTTTCAATGCTCTTTATATCCAATGAAGTCTAAGAGAACTGTCACTTGCAGATCGCCTGTAGCACTCAAGTTCCCCATGGGGACATTATAATTCTACATTGGTGTTGCGCGGACCCTTGCAGTCCCCCACAGCTCGACCTCTACTACTAAGGCAAAAATGGTTTGGGTCAAGCCGCTTGGACTGCCAGCATCCTCGCCTTAATGCTTGACGGTGGTAAAACTGCCTTTCTTCAGGGGCAACTGTGGATCCAGTTTGATGAACATATTTACCATCTACAAAGATTCTTGCTTCAAAGACGACTTACACACCAATAGATCCGCTATTTGCAATACCAAATGATTGGAAGGGAGGCATGGCTGTTGGTAGAAAGAGGCTAAAGTTGAACAAGTCAAAACCGACGATAAACAAAACGCTCACGATATTGGCATAAAAGCGGTGAAAAAACCGACGCCTCTCCGTGTTGCACACACCTTAGAATAAATAAAAACAAAGAATGAAACTAGGTCAAAGCTCAAAAATAATTATGCACAAGTAGATCGACATGAAGTCGCCTTAGGGTAGAACATCCTCCAGAGCCAAGCCACACTTGCCAACTGAATATTTCAAAACGGATTGTTAACAGTGGGCCTGCCAGGTGAAACCAATCGTGATTAACGAGATGCGCCACAAACGCCACATCTGGAAGCCTTCTCGTCGTTGCAGCTTCAACCTTGAGACTGATCTCACTCCATTTGAATGCTACTGCGACGGCAAGGGAGAAAAGTAATCGCGGTGAACGCCGAGGCAGGGCTCGAAGCAAAGGGACAAAATAGTTTGCAGAATGTCCTTTGAAATTGTAAAAAAAACCGGTCTAGTGAAAATTATTTTATTGTGAAAGGATACATCAATTAAACCCTTTGGATGACTCACGCAAACAAAATACTGGTTGACGGTTTTTATTGCCCGGACTCTTTCAATCTTCATCAAGAATTTGGAGCGGACAGGACTCATCCGTTCTTGAAAACCAATTTGTTGGCCTTCGACTAGACAGCAGCCTACACAAGACGCAGATGTGCTACCTCAATGGGATGTCTCCTGTGTTTTCAAGATAAAATTGAATTCCTGCGATGCTAGGTATTGTTTCACAGAACAAAGCCGCATTGATGACTAAGTCTGACTGTGACTCTCCCGCAATTGTTGCCTAGTCCCCTAAACTCCCCACATAACTAACGTCAGCAACGTCACATATTTGTGACGTTACAGCACCCTTATCTGAGTCTGTTAACCACCAAACCGTGTCTACAGCAAACTTGCTAAGTCTGAAACAAATTAAACGACCTCGATCTGAGGAGAATCATATCGTTAGTCTCGATAAGCAACCGACAGCTAACATGCAAGGACTCGGATCGCCAGACCTTGGGAGCCCCATTCCTAACACAAATGGCATAAGTCTAAAAAGCAGTTAGTACTCACTCCTCACTTGGAGGGATGAAGAAAACACCAGACAGTACAAGAAAAAGTGGGACAACACACAGAGCGAGAAGTTATTTAGACTGTTTTTAATAATGCTGATAAAAAGAAGCAAGTTTGCAGGGCGATGGAGAGAAGAGGTAGAGCAAAAACAATGCTCGAGGAGATTAGTTTAAATTCGGGTAATAGGGTAGTTAGCCAGTCAGTCAGCTAGTTAGTTTAAATGCAAGTTCTATCGTCAATGGCGCCTTTGCTGAAATGGGAGGAGAGATAGGGAGGGAAGAGGGAATTGTGCTGTTACGTCATCGATTGCCAAAACTTGAAAGACTATTTTGCTGTTTCCATATTATTGGGAGGGAGGAGCTCAAACCAGAGACAACCTCTGTCTCAAACACATTCATTACTGTTCGGTGGTCGATGCATGAGTGAAGCTAATCCCCCATTGCCAGCTGACGCATCACCACTTTGGAATCCGAAGCCCTGGTGACGCTGAAATCGCTGGTCGTGAGGCAGCGCAGCTGCAGCCAGGTGCTGATGCATGTAGCACTCACCATACATCTCCAGACCCGACTGCCCCGAAGTGGAGGAATATCCTCCACCCGTCAAATCCGTCGGTGCAGGCGCTGGTGGTGGCGGTGGGCAAATGTGACAGGACTGACACGCACCACTCGAGGTGTAACCGACGGCTGAAGCGGAAAAGATCGTGTTGGCGTCCGTTGCAAAGACACCGGCTGGACGATCCAAATCTGTAGCATCAGCTGACAGCGGTCCCCCATAACCAGGGGTTCGATAGGTATTATTGCGGTCAAACTTGGACCTCTGTTGCTGTGCCTGCTGCTGTTGGAGGGGTTGTGAATGCGGCAGTGGTGGCACGCGCCTTCGACAACCTCGAAAGACAGCACGATTCCAGCTCATCAGGGTCTTCTTGTTCGCCCACACCCACATGCCCGAGGTGATACCGACAACAAAGGACATGAAGATTCGGAGCATCGCTGCCTCTGAGGAGGGAGAGTCCTTCGGATGACATTCCGGAAGACCCCACGCCACACCACGCGGAGAAAGACAGTGTGGACGAGCTGTATTGAGTTCTCGCAAAGCAGCGCGCCATCGTGGCTGTCCAAGATACTCGTATAGATTGCTAGCGAGAAGACAGGCCATGGGGAAGGTGTAGAGCACTACAAAGACGCCCAGTTTTGCGATAGACTTCTCCAGGCGTCGTCGACTCTCACGTTCTCTATCACTGGGTGCTTTAAGCTTTCGACGAACACGAAAAACTGCCGCAAAGCCTACACTGAGAAGGAGGAGGCCGAGAAGCAGACAGATGGCTTGGGGCAGGAGGACACCGAACATAAGTGATGTCTCGCTGTGAAAACCCGTATAGCAGGTCCCGGTCAATTCATCCGCGTCGATCTTGTGGAGAATGAGGATGAGGATGGCTTGAATGGCTGGTAGAGCCCAGGCAAACATGTGAAAGACACTGCTGACTGATTCAACGCCTTCGTGGCCCCACTTTCTTGAAGTGGAAAGATACCAAGCAAGACTGAGCATTACCCACCAGAAGTTACTCGCCATTCCAAAATAGTAAGAGATAAGAAAACCAACAGTACACCAAGCACTCTCCTGTCCTCCCATTAAAAGATATTTCTGCATTTCTGCAGCATTGGAATCGCCCGTTTGTAGCGACCGACAAGTAACGCGCTCTGGGCCGAGAGAGTACTGCAGGATGTAGCCTACACCAATAACAAAGTAGCATGCGGCGAGGTAAAGAACTGGCCTTTCCGGGTACTGCAGCCGTGAACCGTCAACAAAGAAGGTAAAAAAGGTGAGAGCAGATGAGGCGACGCAGAGAATGGACCAGCCGAGAAGCCATGCACGCGCAAATTTCTTATCGCCAGGTCGGTAGAAGAGGTCAGCGCCGCAATAGGTAAAACATGTGTCGTTAGAGAAATGAGCCGCAGAGAACTCGGCCCCAGAACAGACGTTACTCGAGCCGCTAGAGACAATAGAAGCAGAGCCATCAGCGACAGCTGCAGCAGCTTGGATTAGGGAGTCGATATTGGGTGAACCATGGCCTCGCTTGAGGAACAGATCCTGTAGTTGGGGGTACATCCTTTGCAGAGATGCTACATTACTGGAGGCAGTCGGGAGAATGGGTTTCTGAGTGTCTAGAGCGTAACCGTCTGGTTGGATGCAGAGGTCTGGAGGCTCAGGCAGATCATCACAAGCCAGTTCGGCGGGCCAGCTAAACTGGAACTGTTGCATGATTGGCTCACAGCGACTGCGTACATGGACGCACAGGGGCTTACAGGGTTTAAGGGGGGTCTTCTCCAGCACTGGAGCACACATTGGGAAGTAGATGGTGCAGAGGAAAAGTTTGAGGTAGTGGGAACAGTTAATATTCAACAGGGACTTGTAATCGATCATGCGCTTAGCCGCCTCCTCCTGGGAGGTCATTTTCACCCAATTTGGCATTCGTGTGTCGGTGTATTGAAGCCCCTGGCAGACAGGCTCACGAATGGGTGTACACTGGGCTTGATCATCGTCATCGTGATAGTTTGGTGGCTTTTTTAACCCGTGAAAAGGCTCGGATTCGCCTTTAATTGATGTCACCGTCAGAAGGAGGAGGATGAGCCAAGTAATATCCTTTCCTGTCATGGTTTTTGCTTTTTGTGATATGAAAAAAGTAGGTGACCAAGCAAGAATGCGAGCGAACAAAAACAAAAAATGTTGTGCGCACCAACAAGGCTTAGCCGAAAACAGGAAGACACATTTGCCGCCGACAAGAAGACTTGTGCGCCCATATACACCGCGTAAATACGAAGCGCGCGCTCATAGCCAACCAATGAAGCACTGGATAGTTGTGATTGGTTACACTGTGCCCAATCAAGATACAAATGTGCTTGCATGCGCGAGTGTGTGCGCACGAATGTATGCGGCCATGGTGCGAATTTGCGAGCGTCTCGATTAGAGACGCTGCGTCCTTTGAAGGTGGAATGCACCCAGAGAGGCATTTGCACGCGCACGCATGCAAGTACGCGCTCCACCAGAGCTGTCGTGTACTCGTTCAGAGTAGTCGAGTGTGTTTCTACGTCAGTATACTTGTTTGGCTCCCCGACCTTCAGTTAAATGCGGGCCTCGCTGCTAGTCGCTCTCACAGATTTTGCGACGTTGACAGATTCGCGTGTGTCAAGTTGTGCGCGCTGCTGGCACAATCAACAACGTCGCAATTTCACGTTTTGCTTGTTTGTATATGTACGTATGTGAAGTTACCTCTTTGGCGAAGATTGACACAGAACATTGTAGCGATATGCATAGGCGGAAGACTGTCTTGAATTTGTTTCATCGAGAAGTTGGATCCGTTTTGGAATATGGTCTTCATGCCGTTTTGCCAAGGAGAGTTAAGTCCTAGTCTTGTCAATGGGGGGAACTAGTGATTCATTAAATGGTTATTTCAATAGTCGGGAGTTAGCGTTGTTGCGCTGGCGGTGTCGGCAACAAAGCTTCACCAAAAGACTTTTTTGGTGATAAGGAATGTTGAAGCAACTGAAAACCGTAGAATTGTTATGGCGAGTACCTAATTGAATTCTCAGGTGGATTTCAGTTTTGACTCCACCTAAGCAACCAATAGTCGAACACACTTAGCTACCATCTGTCGTTTAACTCTGTGATTACGCAGACACTTGAGTCTGCGCAGGCTGTACTTCCGCCTGGCAGCATGGCCTCTGGGCCGTGTCAGTAGCCTCTGCCATACTGCCATGAATTCTCACGGCTTCAGGCGAGCCTCGGGGCTCTACATCGGCATTCACGTGATCCTTGTTGTATTACCTAATTCATAAGAGTTTCGTAAACAATAGAGATTTAAGGAGATAAGTGACAATTAATTTACATTCTAAAAGGACCACTCCACCCGCAGGAACTATACGGGCAGCACTGATTTCGACTGATGAGCCGATTAATAATTTAAACAATTTTGGGTGTAAATTGCGCGAGACATATCACAGCACCTTAACTAAATAATTATTTAGTCTTGAGTTTGCAAGCATCCGCCCCACCTCCGAACGGAATTCTAATTACCCTGAAGGTGTTTGTTTGAATAATCTGGTTGCTGGTAGGTCTTTTTAATTTCCGTCTTCCTGAACTTTCGCAAGTATTTAATTAGATTCAAAGAATCCTTTGAAGGTAGACCATAGAAATGACACAACTTTGTTCCAAGTTCATGCCAGCCAATCTATGGCTGAAGTGGACTGGCAAAGTTGCAAGTCCTCAATTGGGTGTGACTTGGCATTTCATCGGACTAGTAGCACGGTAGATTCATGGCAGCACATGTGCTCAAATGGACTTTCAAAATGGATCTACTGTACTGCCTTGATAGTTTGTTCAACTCGGCGTTCGATTACGCAGGCACCTAAGGCTCCGTCGTTGTGCTTCCGCTCGTCGGCATGACTTCCTGGCCACGCTTATAGCCTTAGCACTTCTGTAAATCAACCGTATGGCTTTCGCCATGCTCCTTTGACTTCTTTCGACTTTGAAAAATCGCATTGAATCATTTCAACCAGGTTTTGTCCTTCACTATTTGAAATAGGCCTCAATTGTGACACACAGAACTCGGCATCAGCCCAGAATGTCTTTTGATGGGTGGCCACTTCTCAAAAGACTAATGATTACACAACAATATCGGCCGGGTGTGATGCTAGCGTGATGACAGTCCCCCAAGTTCCCGTCTAATGAAGGTCTTTTCGGTGAAAACTGTGCCCTCCTGCATTTGCGCTGTATTCAAATGGTGGCTGCCAATTGGCAGGTGTGTAGAAAGTGTTTATTCATAAGCGACTTCAAAGCAGCGAAAACAAGGTGTTGTTGATCATGTTGGCAATGAAAAAAAAGTAGATTGAGCCTTGATTTACTGACGTCAAGAGAAGCATCGACGGTTCAACAAAGTGTCGGGTGGCACCCGAGACTCCGACGCCATACGACAGGCTTCAACATGCCCGCTTTCTGCCTCTGGCAGCGAACGCGGCGCGCAGTAACCTGCACATAAGTAGTCTGGTAGTGATGTCTAGATTTACCTGATGGTATACTGCGTGGCGGGTGTTTCAGGCAAATATCAAGGCCTTGGATGTCCACGGAGGGGGCGAAGGTGGAGGGAGAGGAAGAGAGTGGAAAGAATTTCTTAAAAATGCGTCAAGGTGAGACTAATGGGATGACTAATGAATTTCCGGATATTAATGCCTTTACTGCCGGGACTGCGCGTGTTTGAAATCCCGAATTTCTTATCAGTGTTCATGCGTCACACATATGTGACGTAGGTTCTTTTATCAATTCCTGGTAGTCGGTGGACTTAAGTCGCATAACAAACAAATTTGGTGAGACCGGGACCACAAAATAAATGCAAAATGCTTGTTTGGGATTCACATTTACTAGTTTCTGAGCAGCAGTTGTAGTGCAAGTGTCGGTTTCAAACATCCAGACTGTAGTTACCCATTGCCTTTGAGATTTTGATAACAAACCCGATAACAATTAAAATTTTTACGACAACTAAAACTTCTTCGTTTCTTTAGATGATCAGATAAAGTAGTGCAGAATTTGACAGCGGACAGATGCTGTGTGGCTGTACTGATTAGGTGCTAAAAAGCACCAAATAATCGAGTGTTTGAATACGTAAATACTTCTACCAAAATACCCTTATTTTGTCATTACAACTTGTAATTTTTAAATTAAGATAGTGTCCCCCATCACTGTTACGACAATACTCATCCGTTACAACCCCCTACCGCGTCTTTTACGCAGTTACCCGATAACGTTCACCCCGCAGATTTGGGGCGGCTAGAGGATTGCGCAGAAAAGTCACCAAAAAATAAATGTCCTATTTACCTTGGCGATTGTAAAAGTAACAAAGGATGATGTGGTCAGAACCGAAGCAAACGCTCGAAAACGTTGGCCAGTTGGAGCACCTAAAAATTGGCAAAGTTGTCACCGACAATGAGGCGATTAATCAAATTTTGGTGAAGAATCGATTAGGCGAGATTCGCAATATATACTACTGATTATTAATTAAAGTATCCGCAAATAGATTCATAGAAAGTAACTTAAAAATGGCTTACAGTGATGATTTATGAGATAGAAAAAATGTATTTTAAAATTGTGTCTCCAAGTCAAGCTGTAGCAGGGCTAGTAGAGGACTTAGCTGATGGTATTTAGCTACCTTGTCAAAAATGTGAGGTGTTTCAGTCGATTGTTATCTTTGGACACAATTGGATACTTACTGATTGCTCGCACAACCTTCTCTAGTCCAAAAATGTCACCACATAACCGAATGAATTTTGCTTAAATATATGAGTAAGCTTGAACGCATGTGATGGGACTCATTACGATCCCACTGTGGTTCCATAAAGTAGAGATTTTGGGTACTAAGAGATGACGCAAACGTGTAGGAAGAGGAGTAACAAGTGTGGAAAGCAAACATCCCAAAGCTTGTTAGGTTGATCTTAATGGCAATAAGGTAGATAATAGGCATTTACAAAGATTTCAATTAAATATTTTATCCCCATCTTTGCACCACTGATGGAAAAGTTTTTTAAAACGATTAAATTTGACCACCACGTATGCTCTCAATGTCACATATAGGTAACGCCTCACGTTTTCTTACCTCCGCACGCACGTCACATATATGTGACGCAAATTCCTTATAAATTTGGGAAAAAAAGAGCGCGTATGGTGAGTTGATTTAATTAATGCAATCAAATAAAATAAATAAGTGTTTTTTTATCAGAGGATAATGACTTTTTTGGTTGAACTGGCGAAAGAGATTAATAAGGGGTGATTTCCGACCAGAATATTACAATATCTAGTCCGTGGTGATAAATATTTTCCTTAATGGCCTGATTACCCAAGTGATGATCAAATTTACCGCTTATGATTAAGATGAGCCCCCGAAATGCAAACTCAGCCTCCAAGCTAAAGGAGAAGTAGCTGTCATTATAACACCAGTGTTTTCTTTAAGGCTAGTTTAGATGGTCCAAAAAGATCACTTCGCACAAATAATGGCTCCAACCCAGCTCCTTTTAAAAATATTATCAGAAATAACATTGTCGAGTCCCCGGAATTTGGCTGGACTCTTTGGAGGCTGGAATCGTAACCACCTCCCAAATGTGATTGCACAGCAGTCCTGAATTTCAAACCCTCCCTTGAATGTTCCCACGAGCATGTGCACCGATTTTGGAGAGAGAGAGCGGGAGAGGGAGGGAGCCCGGTAGCTGCCGTTCTTGGGAAAAAAAATTCACATCCTGAAAATTTAGGTAAATCAAATCGAGTCATCAGTAGTCAACGCGCTAATCCAGCAAATTTTCGAGTGTGTAGGAAAAAGGTGTTCGGAAATCAAATCTCCTCTGTGAATTAATTGCAGTTCCAGGACCCCTGCCGAAACCACCCGATCCTCGTGCGGAAACAAAAAAAGGGACCGCGGCTTATGCAAATTTGATTGACTGAGTCTACCAAACACCTACACGTCAGTTATCTTTTTCGTGTGTTTGTGTGTGTGCAGCCAACATTTAGACAACAAATCACATGTCTTGTCTCTAAGTGGAAATAATTTATTTTACGCCCTCTACAATGTCTGGCCTGTTGTCGGTCTCACACACACACACACACGGACATCTGGAGCCAGACAATTGGTGGAGTGGAGTGCTAAACAAGTGAATGAATAATCTGGCATGGAGAGGATTTCCGATCCTCTGGAAATTACCGTAAAGAGATCAACCAATATCTTAGAAGGAACAAATCGGTATTTATGCCTATTGTACAACTGTATAGGTGTCAATACTTGACCTTTCCAATCGCCTCGGTGTCATTGGCATCCCCTATTCTACTAGCTTTATGGCCTTGTCATAGGTAAACTCGAAGGCAATTCCGTGAACTGTTCAAAAAACTACGCTGAAAGAAAGGTGGAGCATACATGTACTCGACCCGAGGAGGTGTCGAGAGTACTGCAGCGTAAGCGATTTGGGGGGGTAGGGAGGTATTTATAACTGCTCCTGAAAAGGCTCTACGGTAGGGGGAAATACTTTTATACGACATCCTCCAACTTACATTCTTCTCGCTCTCATCACTTGAAGTTGGCTTCATCCACTCCATTTTTCATGCTTTGTGAGTGCTTCGTAACACCGTCCTTCCAAGGTGCCACCATTCCTTCATCAAGAATCGGATTATGGGTCACCTTGGTTTCTATCAAAGTGACTGTTTTTGACACCTGTAAGTGCCTTGCGCTTGAAGGTACATTTGTATGGATGAATATGTGTTTTTCCCATTTTTTCCTTTTAGACTATCACAATATCGACAATGTGAGCTAAAGTAGGGGTTGATAGCTCACCGCGCAAATGTACGCTGCAGTGGGATCAGGGTCGAGAGCACCACTTTTTGGAAGTCGCCAAGCTCGAGACGTGCCAAACTTACCCTGCTACTGGCGTCCTCATTCCCAAAGCCCCACTCTAAGGCGACGCCGGTGGTTTATCAACGACTCCATCTACTCACACTGCTAACTCTCACATATTTTATTGTAGGCATTGAGAGAACCTAAAAGAGCGCACTATTTTGCTGACTACAACCACAACATCTCGTTTCATTTCGATAAAAGTCAGAGCAGTGGGGCTGATTTCCACACTCAATGGAAAATAAAACCACTGGTTGATAACAGGAGACTCATTTTTGGAGTAAGAATTAGTATTAAAGTAATTTATTGGAACAAATAGCAAATCTATTATCTTCTCTTACTTTTGGTGGCAAAATGTCATCTCACTTTTAAAGGCTGTTAGTTGTCATTGCCGCTGAATTACTTCAGTAGTATTAGCTCATGCCTTTCGAAGAGATGCAAAATAATGAAGACTGATGGGCATTAGTGAGCATCAATTTCAAACAGCATTCTTAAAGCACTTAAACCTAAATTAGTGACCATTTAAAGTCAATTTCTTGCGAGTTCCAGCGAGTTCATCCGACGCTCTGGCAGTTGAAACAATGGAAAGATTGACATCCCATTACTTGACGACCTAATTGCACAGCAAACAGTTTTCATCTGCTAAGAAGAACTATAGTTTCTAATAAAGTGGAGAAATTCGATTTACTCCCTAATCAGCAAATTTTAAGACATCTTCGTGGAAGAATGTGAGCTGCAGGAAGAGGGGCCAATTTTACCTCGCAGCTAGCCCCCACCTTAATCATTGCTACTAGCATGCACAGTCTTTAATGCGACCTTAAAATACCTCCAACGCGTATGGAGAAGTGAAGCCTTCCACTCTGGTGTTTCTGTTCCGTCATCCAAGAGTGCGATCTTGCATGCGCTGATCTAGCAATTAGCATACATTTAAAATTGTAATTAACCTGATGACTTTCAATTCCTTTCTGCTGCGTCAATGGAAATAATGGCAGGTATATGACTAGCCACTCTGCAGTTAACTCCTATCTACTAATCCAATGGAAAGTTCGACACCCTGGGGACAAAAAACCATCCATCGGGATCAGTATTTACTGCAAGTAACATCTAGGTAACACTAAGACTGCGGACATAGAAGTAGCATAATAAAAAGTAAAATTAAGTAGCCATGGTAAACCGACCCTTCGGATGTGATTATCGTTTATCAATGGCAGACAATGCGATTGACAGAGGCATTGCATGGCAATGACTTCAGGAGCCGACGCGACTAATTTATGCACATGAAACGGGGAGCCTGGAACGAGAGGGATGCGGCAAAGGTCATCCATAAACTTCCACCCCCCATCCAACCATAAAAACAATTGTGCAAATAGTGGAGGAGGGGGAGAGGGGGGAAAAGGCACCAAACGCAACTTTAGTTGAGCTCTCCGCTTATCAATGGAGACATTAGGCTACAATTTACCTCAGGAGGTGGAGTCGCGGGAACGGGTTGATGTGCTTTCTTGTGACCTTCACAATCCTGTTATGCCCTTTTTAAAGGGTTTAAAGGACGCGGCATCAGGGATAAGTGACAGGGGGGTTAGCTACTGGAAAGAGGATGAGCGAAGCTCATCCCAGAAGTCGTTTTATTATTGGCCAACCGCAGGGGGGGACATAAAGTGGCATTAAGTGCACCCCAATGCGATCAATAATCGATAAACTGCTCGCGTGTGGCCTTTTCCGCGAAGCGCAATCGCTATTATTACTTCTATTATCACCGTCACTTGGCATTCTTTGGAGAGGCGCATGGGTCCTGCATCTAACGGGCAACCATTACACGTGCAAACCGTTAGGCTCCCGAGGGTGACTGATTTATGCTCTACAGGGGTCGGGTAAAGGCCACATTCGAAGGCCGTCTCCTCCCCGCTCTCGTCCTCATGCCCAGGAGAGAGGGAAATGTTGGGTGGAGAGAATGGCATTTTCCTAATGGACGCCATGGCAGTCGGCGTGTTTATGACTTCCAAAATGTTAACACATGCACACACGGAGAGAGAAAGCGGCGTCGTTGGCACAAACATTTTATGGGATAAAGCAACATTTAATTCCATCTTTCAGGTGAATGGCAGAGTCCACTGAGGCTTATCACCGCATCAAAGTGAACAGACTGAATCCGTTGCCTTCTTCTTTTAACGACAGTCGCTTCAGGGTGGTCGTTTTAAGTCTTCATCGTGTTAGACTGAGCTGACTGGAAGGTTTACCACTTCCTCAAGGAGAAAGAACCAAGATGGTTGTACGGATCCACAAAGAAAGCAGAAATCGTCTAGCAGTAGGATCCCTTTGTCTTATCTGCCAGTTTTTAAGCTATTTATGGAGAACATACAATACGTTGATAGTTTTGCGCTGCGTATCAGTCGCTCAGACACTCAGGACTCCACCATTCTACTGTTGCTCGACGGCATGACCTCCACCTCATGCCGGTAGCATCTCAGCCTTCCCACACGTCTGCATTACCTTTTCCACCACGGCAGTTCAATGACTTATTCCTACTTCAGGAAAGACTCGAGAAGCTGCACACCTTTACTGACTATTTGCGCTCATTGGCAAGGACCTTCAATGTGCTACAGATGTGCGACCTCCACTTTGTTCCCACTGCTTCAGCGTCACATCTAAGCAACATGTTGTGCACCTGTTGATGGTGATAAATGATTGCACCAAATCATGTTGCCAACACATGAATTGATTTTGAAAAAGGATAAAAGGAGGTGGGCTCCTCCCAACGCGAAGTCATGTACATTTCCTCGTTTTTGTGAGTGGCATGAACATAAAAGTAATCGACCTTTTTGGAGACTGTGGTGGTTGATTTTTCCGCGGAAACCCCGACTACGAGTCGGTTAGTGAGGTCCACTAATACAAACCACTTCGACTAGTGCATCAACGACTAGAGAGGTGGGTCTAAATCCCTTCATTTCAGCTGACAGATTTTCAATTTCCGAATGCCACCTTAAGCTTGTCCGACTGTTCTTGCCTTCTCATGGTGGTTGGAAGACTCGCCACCTGACATTCACTCTCCTCTGGCACCAAGACGCCTCTACGGTTATTGCTACCAGTAATATATTTATATATATATATTTAGTACCGCCCCATTCAAGGACTTCGTTAAGGTATCTATTATCAAAGCGGCAATTGCGATTCTGCCTGCAATTTTGTTGCAATGCAAAGCCAAACAACCGTGCCCCGCAAAAAGACCGAAATGGGGCGTCAACGCAGCCCATCATCTCTCCCTCTCTGCCTCTCTCTCTCTCTCTCTCTCTGAACAGCCGACTTTGTTGTCCTCACTTTGTCCTTTTCATTTGGCCTTGTCCCATTAACTTGAATAGCGGAATGGCACTTCAAAGGAGGACGCAGTTGAAAAGGCACGAACGGGAGTGTTGCTTTGTTGTCTGCCGTTTGGAGGTGGCACATCTGTCGACGGAGGATGTGGGTGTGTGGGTGGCCCTTTTCAACTCTCAAGTTGATTCAAATAAAAAACCAGCACCCGTTTTGCGTTTTTTTGTCTTTGTACGTCAAAGATGGACTTGTTCATTCAGATTCCAGCACAGATGTTTACGTGTTTGTCATACAAGCAATTACAAAAACCCGGTTCATCTCTGAGGCTGTTGGAACGCCTGGGCGTTCAGAAAGGGCCTCGTTATTAGGCTTAGGGAATGGTTAGGATGGTAGTAGTGCAGAGAACATGGACAAAATTCGATGCTACCGCCATGAAGGGCCGGTCGCTGAGGGCTACTTGTACTAAATTTTTAAAGACGTCATATATTTAAAATTTGCCAAATCCAATTCAAAACCCATTCAATGTGGCAGCTGTATTAGCGACTCAGTTTACATAAACTTAGATGAAATCCAAACTTATGCAGCGATTTAAGCGCTTGTCGCTCAGGTGACCAACCCATTCTCGTTACTTGACAGATAAGTCGAAATTCAAAGTCCCCTCTCATGGAAACCGATTTCGGCTAAAGTACTCTCATGAGCTGGTAGGAGCGGATGCACTACCCACACACCCATTTCCCATCCGCATGCATACGCCGAGTTTTTTGGATGAGCAAAGGGAATAAATAGTTCTTTAAAAGTGCTAAAAAAACCGCATCTCCTCCCTCAAGCTCATTTTTATCGGCCCCGGTGGTAGCACAACCCACAAGAAGCGGTCCGCCTTGACTGATGGAATATCAGTTCTGGCGCTTGGCTCCCAACAGCCTATTCCACTGTGCTTGAAATCTCTCCGCAAGCACACAGCTAATAATTAAGCAAGAGGATAATCAAAGGACATCCCGACACAAACAACTAATAATACTAATGGCATCCAAACACACTAGTGCAAGGATCGACCAATCACAACACTATCCTGGAGGCGTTCAATTTGACCCACAACAATTACGCGTAGGCGAAATGGAGTTTTGGAGGTCTCTGCCAGTGCCTACTGTACCATCAACGATCTTAGGTGAACGGGCTCCCACAGCGTGGCACATCACAGGCACACCAACGAAGTAACCCACTACTATCCACTTATAGCCTTGCCATAAATTCCTCTGAGGGCTGTCCGGTTTCACATGATCTGTTGAGGCTGTGAATGTAGGTTTTAATATGCAAATTTCAGGTTTAAGGTTGGCCGACCAAATAGCAGGCTTTCAAGATTTACCTGACACAACCTGATAACCATGGGTATGCTAATGAGGTCATGCTTAGGAGGTCACTTCTAGGTCGGTACAAAGCCCCAAGATCATTAGGTGTCCCGACCTCGAGATTTAATCAAGAGTTGTTGTGTGTAAGGCCTAAGTCCTAGAGCAATGGACGAATACAACCTTTTAAATAAGGACAATTGCAATGGAATGTTGGAGATCAACTTCATGTCAATGCCCGTTTTGCTACAATCGGCACTCCCCCGGTGAGGAAACAAACAACTGATTTTTGGAATGGAGGATGTTGTTGTTCCAAGGTCAATGTACTTTCTTTCCAATTTTTGACCAGTACAACATCGCTTGGGACATCTTTCGTCATACGTAGTGGTTGAATTTCTACTACCATTCAGATAGCAAATATGTCGGGTCATTTTCTCCCCATGTATTTTGAATAATAAGTAATTAAAGAGGTACACCTAGCCCAAGACTTCTTAGATCTAAGGCGACGCAATGGTCCGTTTCCCAACTAGGCCTTGCTGTCAAGTTGCAAACTGTTTATGTGGGAAACACATGCCTCCTTGATCTGCTTTCGCTATCAATAGGAAATCACATCTCGTAGCGATTGCAATAGCCACTCAAATGTCTTTTTGACCGACATTTATCTCGACAGCTCTTGTACATTATGTTGTCGTTTAGATTAGCCCCACTGTTTGGTGAAAGGGATTCTACAGGTGATGAACATTGACCAAGAAATCCACTGATCTAAGTGGGACCACTTTGTAGGATTAAGATGAAATTTAAACTTTTAGAGTAATTAAAAAAGGTGAGAGGAACTGAAAAACTTCAATTTTAACAAACAAAATAAAAGAATATCTGCCAACTTATGATTGGATCTATTCTTGGCCAACTCAAAAAGGAAAGCCCAAGCACAGCTTCAACGATTGGTTCAGTTGTAAGCGTTGCTTTTGATTGGTGGGAGCACGGCCAATCACAACACAAAACTTAAATAAATCAAATTCAACTTCATTTTTTTTCAAAAAGCCAAAAAATTCCACAAGGTAGCCTACAAACGAAGGAAGGATTTTTAAGAACATCAAGTAAAAACCTGACCGCATATCAGATCTTCTCAGTGCTAGTCGTCGCAACCGATAGCAGGTTCAAATAAAATTTCTTACAATCGAAAGCACTATCTGAGAACAAAGACTTTTTGTTAAAAAACAAATTTTGCTCACGAAAAGTGATGAATACCGATGCATTTCTGTAAGGAAAACAGCTTTTGGTATGGCTCACGTTTTGCACCAAGTGGTGCTGGTGATAGGCATGGATAATTACCTTATTGTATTAGACCTCTTATAGATCCACTCAAGGGAATTTGCCTTCGGGGCCATCTCTGGCGACGCAATATGGCATACCAAAGAAGGGGACTACTCAATGCTTTGCATATAAAAGGGCTGGAGGTTGTTGGATTTTAAAAGTACATGCGCCACCGGTATGACGGTAGAATCTACATAAATAGTTCAACAACATGGGTTTTGGATATTTCGTTCAGGCCCAACTGATGGGTCACCGGCTACATGAATGACCTCCTATGCAGTCTTAGGATAAACAGATTGGTCATGCGCAAACACATTAGCCACAGACGCAGCCTCACTATTCGCCTTGGCTAAATCTCTTTCCAGCCCATCGACTTTAAGACTACCTAGGGAAGAAAAGAACGGCAGTCCTCATTTCACTGAGCTGATACCGCACTTGAGCGTCACGGAAGGAAGGCGCCTGCCGCGAATGCCAGACCCTGAAACCATGCAGACCTATGCCCGATTCTCCAATCCCGATTTTGTAATTACAATAGGTAATAAGTAAGGATCAGGCTTGAGTCAAGCAAACGCATTCACAAAGTAACCGCTCACAATGCTTACATTAAAGTAGTGAAGGATGAAGACTTGATATACTGGCTCCAAAATTTGTAAAAGACTGACAATAATCCCCAATGGGCAGTAGGACAACACTGAATGTGTATTACAGTAGGACGGATAAATGAGCACAGAGGCCAGCTCCGTGAGGCTATGCCATATACCTTGTGAAGCTATACCATTCCATAATAAAAGCGTGAATAAAACCAGTTCTGGGTCATGGAACGGTGGATCCAAAGAGACTTTGAACGATGTAGGCTTCGAGGACATCGTAATGAATTTTTTGACACGTAATGAAGTAAAAGATGCCTCATCAAGTCGGTTTAGATTAAAATATTGTCACGATCAATTACTGAAAACCCAAGCACCGCTCCCATAAAACGCAATTTTTATTGTTGCCACAGGTACCACCCCATGGGCAAAAGAAGGAAGGCACGGCTGACGAGCAGAAATCAAAAAAGCGAGAGAAGGCAGCTTGCTTCTTTATTCATTCCTCTCCTCCCTCTGTCTCAAGCGTTCCATCGAAAGGCGACCAGAGCACCGCTAGTCCTTCTTCCTCGTCGAGGTAGGCGTTGGCAGCAGTCGGACTTGGTGACACACCTCGGCTGCGAGATTGGAATCACGTTCCACGCGCCAGGTTCGTCTGCCATAGAAATCAAGAATTAAAGTGCAGAAGAACAATTATTTGTATTGGCTATACAATTAAGTATCCGGTTTCTCCAGTCCCAACCACTATCTTTGTAGCGTGATGGTCAGTGTTATACCTCGAAAATCCATTTAACCCCTCGTTCG